TGAGATAAACAAGATTTTGTGAAATTCTGTATGTTCTAATTTTTAACCCTATATAGGTTGCAATTCTGTAAATATAGACAATGCAATTTCCCATAGGAACTCCCTTTGCGGCTAAAACTGTGACACTTTTACTATGAAGTTTCGTGAAAAATAATATCCTAGAACGGAAAGTTTATATGCACTACTATTTTATTCAAAGGTCAAAATATAGGGCTGTGCGGCATATTTTCAACATTTATATGCCCTGAACTTCTAAGAGTTTAAACTTATACTAAAATTCTATACTACCCTTACCTCCATTTTTGGACCTCCTAAGAATTAAAATTTAGGCGCTACCATGTTTTTCTATACTGGTTACATTCCCAAGTGATGTCTCTATGAAATGAAACACAGAGATCATAAATGGGAACCAGTATGTTAACAAATTAACATATCTATGAATATTATATATCTCCCCAAAAGAGGCGTGGTTTGAGAAACAGCTGTATTTACAAAGTGCAACCTATATGCAGCAACAATATATAATCTATAAACATATAAAACATGATAAAGAGCAATTAATTGTATAAAATACTGTTTCTCCTTGATAAAATGTTATTGCAGGTTTTGACAACATATAACAAAATAGTACTACTGATTGTTACCTTTAAGAGTGATAAGAATAATGCAAAAAAACTAGCAATGGAAAAACCGAAAAACATTACTATTTTGGACCCAAGAACATGACTAGAAAAGAACACTATAGTAAATCTTAGATTATGCTGACAAAAAAAAACAAGAAATGCAAAGTAAAAAATAAATAGGATTGCACATTAGTAAAATGAACAAAAACATAGAAAAAATCAACTAACACAACAGAACAGAAAGCTAAAGCTAAAGATGATGGCAATAATGATAACAAATATTTATATACAACTTCAGCAAATAATTGTTGGTCAATTGTTATGGCAACATGGTCTATAACATTAACTTTTGGAAAAATTTTGGTCTAGCATTGTTTAAAATCTATTGTTGGTCCAATATTTATTTCCTGATAGGTGCAAGACTATTTTGATGAGGTAAACAATGTTCTCTCTCCTACCAATGCTATAAGATAAGCATCTGTTTATTGTATTTATTGTACAGGAAGAGATATATTTCTATAAGTAAGCATATATATATATACCTTGTATTTGTGTAATTGTCATTTAAGCTTTTACGTCAAAGCTTACCATTTAGAAACATTTTGAGAGCCAATATTTATATGATTGATTAAAATTCTCCTCATTATAAAGAATCTCTTTTCGAGCTTTTTTAATCTTTTGGACATTGGGTCCGACAGACTTTAATATCCAGGTTTTAAGACCGTAAAAAATATCTGGGCCTACAATTTTTAATAAATTGAAGCATTTTAGATTAATTGTAAGTAAGATACACAAAGGAAATTGTAAACTAGCTGTGATAAAGTCAGGAAATACTCTACACAACAAGCATACAAACAGAATGACTGGTCAATAACTTGTAGGTGTTCCCAACAATTAGTGCACCATTGAAATTTGTGATGTTATATTTTGCAACACCTGTTCCCATGGTAAATATAGGATTTCTTTTGATAGACCCATTTCAAGATAAAGATATTTAAGAATATGATATGTGAATAAAATGCTTCAAAACTTATTCCATTAACTTTTTCCAACTGATAGATATGATTTACATATTGTGTGTGGGAGAGGTGTGTAATCGGAAACTTGGTCTCTGTAATTTATATCAGTTCATCAAAATTTTGAGACAGATTTAGTATTATATATGCCCTTTCTCCCCTTACAAAAAAGGTCAGATATAAAAAAAATATTAAATTGTACTAGACTGTCAAAATCATAATTCTATATTATAATCTTCCTCAGATCAACACAGTGACACAAGGTTTATATCTAAGCAAATACCCTTCTGTAACAATATTTGTATATTCTTTTCCCTAAAATCTAAGCAGCAAAACAAATATAACTTAACAAGACTAAAATATTCAAGTTTGAACTGTAAGTGAGTGAAATATTAACATACTAAGTACTATAATATCAGTAGTTCAGATATTGACAAAATGTCCTATGTGAAGGAGGTAAAATATATTAAATGCACAAAACAAAAATAAATAAATACTTTAAAATATCTAGAAACAAGTACAAATTATTTATAGATTCCACTTTTGCATGAAGTGAAATTCAACATTCTTGGACCTAATACAGTAAAAATATATGATTTAGTAGTAAAACTCAAAAAGATTTTTCTCATCAAAAAAAAAAACAGGACTGTATGTGTTGGAAGCCAATGACTAAAATATGTAGGAAAACTGGGAATTTATTTTAGTAATCTGTGTGAAGACCTGGGGTATGATCACCTTATTTTCCTGGTGTCACAAATTCCATTGATGCATCAAACAAGATATCAGCAACAAACATTTGAAAACAGAGTAAATTCTATATTTGAAAAAAATAATTACATACAAATGTATTGATTGTCCTAAAACTATTTCAAAATAAAAAAAGTATACATTTTACAAAGCTATCACTCTAAAACCACTAGAGGCTCTGTAGTGTCGCTCACCTTCATCTTCAACAATAGCCATTTTTTGGTAAAAACCATCATGAAAGGGCAATAACTCTATAAAGAGTTAACTGACAATTTCAGTCATATTGACATATTTGTAGATCTTGTCCTGCTGATTATTTTTGCTTTCCAACATTTGTTTCTATTACTCTTTTCAAGATAATAGGCAAAAACTCCTAAAAATGGTAAAACATCTTTAAAGGGAAACAACTCCAATAACCAGTCGACTAAAGATTTCACTACATGATGGCTTATTTGTAGATCTTGTCTTGCTGATCCTTTTTGCTATATAAAGTTTCTATATATCTGTCATGTCTATTATAGTTTTCAAAATAACAGGCAAAAATGCAAAAAATTGAGAAAAAAGTTTCTTTTTATCTATTATTGTTTTTTAAGATATAAGGCATAAGTGCAAAAAAATTGGTAAAAATCGTCATCATTGTGAATTTACAAATGTGTGCAATTTAGGTACTCCTTATTAACATGATTACAGAATCTTTTGGAGGTAGGTTTAAAACCATTTTTCTATGATTCGGTATGGATTCAAAATTAAATTTGTGGCACTGTAAAGTAAATAAGGATACATTAAAAAAAAACTCAGAATGGACACTTTTGTATGTTTCTTGAATAATGATTGTGGAAAAAAAAATGTCAAAAAAGATACAATATGGATAGCCTCATATTAGACTAATACCAAACTTTAAACTGAGCAATTTTTATTTCAATAGTACCAAGTTCTTAGCAAAAATGCCATGTATACTATACTAAACAAAAGAACTAACCACTTGCAAAAAGTATCAATAATATATAAATGAATATATATTTAACAAATTATATTTAACAACTAACAATAAAGTTATTAAAATTCTAAGAATAATAACTCGCACTATCACATTAACAGATTAAAGTACAAATATAAAAATAAGAAGATGTGGTATGATTGCCAATGAGACAACTCTCCATAAAAGACAAAATGACACAGAAATTAACAACTATAGGTCACCATACGGCCTTCATTAATGAATAAAACCCATACCGCATAGTCAGCTATAAAAGGCCCTGAAATGACAAATGTAAAACAATTCAAACAAGAAAACTAACGGCCTGATTAATGTACAAAAAAATGAACGAAAAAACAAATATGATATACAGCAGCAAACAACAACCACTGAATTACAGGCTCCTGACTAGGGACAGGCACATACAGAATGTGGTGGGCTTAAACTAGTTTGAAGGCGCCATCCCTCCCCCTAACCTAGGACAGTGGTGTAACAGTACAACATAAGAACAAACTATAAAATCAGTTGAAAAGGGCTGAACTCATCAGATGAATACAAAGCAGAAATATATCTAACAATAAAATGCTTCGCTGAGTGCAGCTGGATACGACCGCAGAGGTCTAACCCTGAACAGTTGGGGCGAAAATGGACACAATATTCGCACTTGATACAGGTCTGAATTTGGATTGTAATTAAATATTTGACACATAATAGGTTTCGGACACCGAATAACTGTAGTCAAAGAACTTAGAATTGGTTATATGATTTGAATTTATATTAATTTTTTTGCTTTTGTGCAATACACTCTGCTGTTGCGAATTGACCCCTTCTCTCATATCCGTAGATATGGATATTTTAACACCGTGAAGTATCCAAGTACATCCTGAGGCGAAGCCGAAGGGTGTACAGGGTACTGAAGGTTGTTAAAATATCCATATCTACGGATATGAACGTAGATAACGAATTTATCCCCGGTCTTAGTCCAAATCTTGAGATTTTTAGAGAAATTCGACCACAAAGTGTAACGTGAAAGCAACGGTTTTTTCATTTTTTAAAAATCTTTTATTGAATTTTGGGAATTTGACATATCTTTCACAGGGTGTAGGGTACTACCTTTGGTAGAACCTTACAGGTAGTCAAATATAAGACGTTTGTAATCCAGATACAGGGAAACGGGAATGGGTCGAATTTGGCGCTCAATGTTGTGAGAGTTACATCATAGACGCTGTGACCTAAACATGGGTCATTTGCATAGCTAGGTCAGTAGTCCCATTCATTGACAATGTGTCAGCCTAGTGATGCATTTACTAAAATGAGTGCAAATGATCGACATAAAAGATAAAATCATAAGTTGATTACATATTTTAAAATTACAGACATCATGGATAATCTACAGAATTCGATATTTCACAAGGAACAACCATGGATCGAAGGAAAACGCACGTGAAGTTCCCCGGCGTAATGGGTAGCAAAGCCCGGGTATATGGGTTAGCAACACCCAGGGGCTATGGGTTTTGTAACGACGTGCATTAACCAATCAGAATCCTAGAAATATACTAAGCCGGGGATAACTTCTTATACCTATAAAATATTACTAGATTTTTTTTGTATAAATAAAACCTTTCAAAATAAAGCTAATAAAAATATAATAAATAACTTTTAAAGGTTAAAATGACTTTAAAATATTCTATCTTATATACATATAAAAATAAAAAGCAATTAAAAATATAGCCTTACGGATAAACTCATTTCATTCTTTGCAAATGCTTCAAATTTCTTTTTAACATTTAAATCATTCATTTCCATGGCCAGGACTAAGCATTACTGGAATGAATATAATTTAAAAACATCTTTTCTTTTTAACAAAATAAACTCATTCTCAGTTAAGCACAATACAAATAATAGGAAAACATAGAACACAATCATATATTGCTCATTCAATTTCCTGTCAACAAGTAAGCAAAGCTTATAAACATACTGTTGTACTTTCACACCAGTCAATGAAATCTTGATTCTTCTCTTCCATATCTTGAAGAGGAATCTGCTTGATTGGGATTAAAGATGGTGGAACTAAAGACTTGTCGTCCACCAGTAACACAAATAAATCCTGTGGCATATGATTTTCCCTTGCCATTCTTACAATGAACATATCAACTTTATGAATGAAATTCCTGGACATATTTCTTGTTATAAGTATGATAAAACGTTTTGACCTTGCTTGTAAGAAAGGAAAATGACCAGGAGTGGTAACATCTTCATATAATTCCAGTCTTACATCATCAATAGCAGCATTAATCCAGCTCTTAATTTTAGTGGCTTTTTCTCTGTCATATGGGCAATATGGGCAATAGCATAGAAGTAGGTCATATTCATAATTTCCACTTAAACCAGATTTTCTAATTTGTATTGAAGGCTTCTTGACTCTTTCAAGTTGTGATAGTAATAAACATGTTGCTTTATTATGATATTTTAAGCCAACTTGAAGTTGGTATGCTTGAAGACAACACATTGTTTCGTTCTCTAACAAAAACACTGATGGCTTAATCTCGATTAGCTTAGGTAAAACTGGTCTTCCCGGGAGACTGACTTCCCTTGATGACATCATGGTCATTCCAGTTTCTTCTAGGTCCTCTTTTAGATTAATATAATTATTCATTTTACCCTCCTCCTCAATGAATAATATATCAACTGTATCTACAAAGACACGAATAAATGTATAGGCTTACATACATTTATAAGGAGTACATACAAGTTACTACTCCTTTTGCAGCATTGATTATGCCTATACGCCATGGTAAGTTTAGAATAACACAAGAACAAGAATGATAATCATGTAAAGGCATATGCATTTTTAAACCCAGTTTTGTAATGTCATGCGCAACTTTTATTTTTTTCATTTTAGCAATTTTTGGTCTATTTCAATAAATATTTTTACTTGGTTTTTTCAATTTCTATAGCTTTAACAACCATTTGCAATTGCTTTCTATACCAGTATTGTAGTTATAGATATTGTACCATGTACCACACTGCTCCATTGATTACAATATTTATCCACTCTGGATAATTAAATTTTTAAACCGCAAAATGTGAAGTTTAGCAAACATTTTAACTATCTAAGTGGATATATATAAACATTGTTTTCAATTGGGTAAAGTGGTAGAATCTGTTTGTTTCTTATATATATAATAATGATACATTGGAAAATGTTTCGTTCAATGTTCTAAATTTATGGTTGGAAATAACTTGAGAGAAAATTAATCGATGTGTGGTCTATCAGAATTTAACAAACTGGTCCTAATCTGTTTAAATAGTCAGAATAAGAGAATTTAAACTTATTTTACTATCAAGTTTATACATTGTTTTATTCTTCAGCTAGCTGTTTTATAAATAACAGGTTATCAAATAAACCTTGTTAAGTCATTTAAGCCATGCCTATTTCTGTAAGAATCAAAGACAACAATAGCTAGAGAATAAAACTAGATGTGTCGGAACAACACAAATGGCCCCGCTTGCAAAAAAAGCTTAAAGCCATTTTTAGGTGTGAAAATAATTTGACAATGAGCACATGATGAGAGGTTGATAAAATCAGCAGAGCGGAACAAAACAAAAACACCATCTGTAACTCATCATAGTAGACTCACATACTAAATAAAAATTAGCTCAATATGTGAAGGCATTTAGAAAAAAGGTTGGTATATTGTTATTTTCACGAACTTTTCAAAGTCCCGTAATTTTGGCAAAAATCAGCAGAACAGAACGATCACGAAAACTTGATCTGTAACTCACCATTGTAGACTCACATATTTACAATCAGCTCAATATGTGAAGGTGTTTAGCAAAAATCCATATAACTAGCTGTTATGTTGCGGAATGCCTGAATGACAGAATGACTGAATGACGGAATGCCAGAATGATGGAATGACAGCATGATTGACAAGGGTAAAACTGTATGGCCCTGACCACTTAGTGGCAGGGCAATAAAACAAACACTAAAGGTAAACAGTAACTGGTTATTGCAGAATAAAAACATTATATGCACATTGTCGGAAAATATCAAATTCATTCAACTTACTACAAAACAGGAGAAAATTTCAGCAAGCGTGGCTTTCCTCCTACTTCTTAAGCTTGTAAAAATTATTTTCATATTTTCCCGCAATGAACATATACTGTATTACCTACTACTGATGACTCAGGTTTTTGTTAATATAAAGACATTCACAGGAGCATAACTCACTTAGTAACTATTCTCTTCATTATTGCAAAAAGGATTACTTTTAAACAAAATTGAACACACAGAAATGTCTCAAATGCTTATCTGACCATGATTGAACTATATGGATAAAGTACTGTATATTCAGAAATTATTGCGAGGTTTTTATCAATGTGAATAATGCGACTGGGTGAGTATTGCAATAATAAGAACTTGTATTCTGGTATTTGATACATATATGCAGATTTTTCTGAAATTGCAATAATTAATCTCACTTTTTTGTCCATTCTTCAAAAATGGCAATAATAAATGCACACAATATTTTCTGAATTTACAGTAATTAGGATTAAGGTTTTACTACACTGGTATCGCTCTCATTTTATTCACTAAATATAAATGACCTACAATTTATAGTATCTAAGAAAACTGCAGACATTATCACAAAATGAATTTTACTGCATTAAATAATCCAAAAGTAGTTGATCAATTCATTATGGTATCTGACAAACTGACTTAACCATGATACATTAATCACAAATAAACCATGAAAATATGGTCAAATGAATCCTGCTATATATATAGTTACACAATGACACCTTACAAATGTTCCCTACATCAAAAACATAGTTGACTAATTGCTTATAGAATAAGAGAAATGGAACAAACCAAAACTTAATGTTGACCATTGATCCTGCATCATCAGCATGATAGTCATCAGCATAATGATCTTATAAAAATATATTTCTACATATCCATTGGCTCCAGTGTTAAATTCAGTAGCTTCTAGCAGTCATATTGCTTGGATGGGTGATACCAAAGCTTGAATCTACCACATTGAAAACTCCCATGTATATTTTTAAATTGTTAGAAGATTCTGAGGTTTTATTTCTGCTTAGAATTCAATGTAAAACTAAGTCTCCTACTGGTACACATACTGGTTTTCCTATCCATGTCATTACATACCAAAATTGGTAAGATTGTATCAGACCCTTTCCGTCATATTTCGTTTTAATTGTTATAGTGGTTATAGGGACCATTTTTGCATACTTCAATACCTTCAAATTTGTAAATCTAAGTCCCTAACTGGCAACCGACTTGTCAGGCAATGAAGCAGCACAAATCATGTTGATTCTCAGAAAAGCTTTTTGTCTTACTGTTGCAGCCAAATTGCTTTTCAAATTCAAATCATATAGTTTGAGAAAACCATTCAAAGAATACAATGTGCCAAGTTTTCCAAAGATTATGATGCATGACAAGCACCAGGGGAAGGCATGATATTCCATGGTTACATGTTCAAAGGTTCGACAAGCACCAAGGGAAGGCATGATATTCCATGGTTACATGTTCAAAGGTCCTACAAGCACCAAGGGAAGGCATGATATTCCTTGGTTACATGTTCAAAGGTCCTACAAGCACCAAGGGAAGGCATGATATTCCATGGTTACATGTTCAAAGGTCCTACAAGCACCAAGGGAAGGCATGATATTCCTTGGTTACATGTTCAAAGGTCCTACAAGCACCAAGGGAAGGCATGATATTCCATGGTTACATGTTCAAAGGTTCGACAAGCACCAAGGGAAGGCATGATATTCCATGGTTACATGTTCAAAGGTTCGACAAGCACCAAGGGAAGGCATGATATTCCATGGTTACATGTTCAAAGGTCCTACAAGCACCAAGGGAAGGCATGATATTCCTTGGTTACATGTTCAAAGGTTCGACAAGCACCAGGGGAAGGCATGATATTCCATGGTTACATGTTCAAATGTCCTACAAGCACCAGGGGAAGGCATGATATTCCATGGTTACATGTTCAAAGGTTCGACAAGCACCAAGGGAAGGCATGATATTCCATGGTTACATGTTCAAAGGTTCTACAATCTTAATGGAAGATAGTCTGGTTCTCTTAATTCTATTTTTGTCTGATAAATAACCTTATACTAGCACCTTTATTACTACATTTAAATCTAAAACAGACATCATGTCCTACTTTATACTGTAAATTTACCAAATGAAGATTGATACCAATTAATTAAGCAGAAATTTTGATTTTTTTCTGTAGTTCTTTTTTTTAACGATCTATACACTTTTTAAACACTTAAGTGTCTACTTCAGTCGATTCAATTAGTTTATGTGAAAGATTAGAACTGATTTAGTCATTAAAGACACTCAAATTTAAGCTTAAATATGAAAAATCTATCAAATCTGCCATAATATGTCACTTCTCAGATGGTTTTTATCAAAAATGAAAGTGGCCGCATCCGTGTTCATTCTCAACCTTTATATATGTTATGTATTATCATAAAATACAACTTACGTTTAAATATTAAGAATGAACACAAATGCGTCCACTTTCATTTCAGAAGGAAACCGTCTAAAAATTAACCAAAATGCTAAAATTTCCAAGATTTCAGTAAATTAGCATGCCTTAATGATGCTAGTACCCGATACATGTGCATTGTATTGTAAAAAACAGCCCATATTTATGTAACAGAAGTATTCTTCTTTCCAATAAATTATATATATAGCTAAAAATTTACATTTTAACAATTTTGTAAAAATGCTATATTTTGGGGCCAAAAAGGGGTCTTACTGGGCCTACTCCTTTACCAAATGAAGATTGATACCAATTAATTAAGCAGAAATTTTGATTTTTTTCTGTAGTATTTTTTAGCAATCTATACATTTATATATTTCGGAGTTTAGTGTAACATCCATTTTCTCTGAACTAGTACACATTTTTGTTTAGGGGCTGGTTCAGCCCGTCTCCGAGTGAGGGATTTTCTCGTTGTGTGAAAGACCCGTTGGTGGCCTTGGGCTGTTTCATGCTCTTTGGTCGGGTTGTTGTCTCTTTGACACATTCCCTGTTTCCATTCTCAATTTTATTTATTACATACCTTCTATCAACTGAAAAGATTTTTGCTCCTTAAGCTTGACATATTTTTCTGTTTTAGCTTTATGCCATACTGTATTGGAGGGTATCATCTTTCTGAAACAAAAGTATGACCAAATTAATTTTTTTAATTATACATGTACTCATACATTGGTAAAATTTCTTCGTTCTGTTTTTAAATATATACATATACTGTGAAAGTACTTTATTCGTGGGGTACCAATTTTCGTGGTTTTCGTGCTTGGCTTTATCCATGAATTTAAGTGTCCAACGAAATATAACAACTGTTGTCCACATCAAAACATGGAAAGATCCTCATGTAGGTTTGACTACATGGATACGGGCATATAATCTAGAGAGTACATCGAATATCAGCAAATGCACAACAAACTATATATATATACAACATGGACAGTATTTTGCCCATTGATGGACGGACAAACGGACGGAGGGACGTCAAGGACAGATGGATAGATGGATAGGTGGACAGACAGACAGACGGACAGGGGTAAAACAATATGCCCCTCAACTTTCAGTTGCGGGGGCATAAAAACTGAAAGGCTTGCAAATAACTTGGATTATTGAAGCAAAAATTGCAGTATATGCAATGCAGACCACCTTTATTTATTATAGAACAAGATTTTATCAAGATTTATTCTGCAAGTCATTTTTAAAAGAAATAAATGTTGCTGGTACATGGACAATAAAGAGTACTTTATTTCAAATTTTGGATGTTAGATGGTTTTTTGTCTTTGGGTTGCTGTCTAAAGAAGCATAACTAGCCCACATCTACTTGTGATATTTCAAATGATGCCTGCATACAAAATAAGGCAGGTTTATTGCCTGGGTTGTAGCAAAACTATACAATCAATGTATTGGAATAGGTGGTTGATGTCGTCTGTTCTGTGCATTTTTGGCATTTCCTGTTATCCTTTTTTCTGTATCATTACTATACCCTCAAATGGCCTCAATGTAGGAATATTGCAACAACCTTGTCCATACGTCTGTCCGTTTGCCAAATTAACATTTGAATCATACAATTTTTCAGAAACTTCTGAACAGAACTACTTCATATTCGGTCACCAGCTTTTCAGTGATGAGTTAAATTGTAACATGAGCAGCATTTTTTGGGATCTGTCAGATATCTACTTCCTGTTTGCAGATACTGTGGTTTTTTTCAATATATGGGGAATGAACTTAAATTTTCACCACATATTTCTTAAATACTGCTGAACAGAATGACTTAATATTAGTCAGCAGCTCAACAGTGGCGGGTAAAAAAATTGATTCACTATTAACTTTTCAAATCTGTCAGTCACCTTCTTTCTGTGTTCCAATACTTTAAACTTCAAGTGAGAGTATGCTTACCACCTGACATCTCCCTAAGTTTAAGTAGTGTTTTTGTTACTCAGTCTTTTATTTTCTTTGACAGACTGTCGTTTCATCAGTTTTTTTGGGGTTTTTTTTGCCATCGTGTTGTCTGTCTTTAACCTATGACATGTATGAATTTTTGATGTCCTTTTGGTATCTTCTGCATCTTTTTTACATGTTACAATATTATATGGTATAAAATAATATTTAAACAATTATTTTCATTTGATTTTTAATAAAATATATACTTACTTATCAATTGTCTTTTGTCTGCGCTCATCATTTATTGGGTGAGGTAAAGCATACTTCTCACAGTCTTCGCTACATTTTTCAAACAGTCTACAATAAAGTTCAATCAAACATTACCCCCAATCATAACTGGTGAGGATTCATTATTTTTCGTTGGATACCAAATTTCGTACATTTCGTGGCTACAGGGGAACCATGAATTTAAATGTTCAACGAATTACAAATTTTCTATACTAATATATGCAGACTTTGTTAAAACCACGTAAATATCCATCAAAAATGCAGGTTTTCCTCAATTCTCGAAAATTGGTACCCATGAAAATAAATAAATCCACAGTACTGTATTAAAAAGTCATATAATAATTAAAACATAATTGTTGACTTTTGATGTCAGTTAATAAATCATTTTCTTTAATTCTTACCAGATTTATATGATTATTTTTTTATAACCACCTTGTGGTTTGTTTAATCTAAGTTCTTTATTGGTGAAATTTTCTTGCTTTTCTTTGAATATCCACTTGTGACATCACCAAAATAAAGGCTTCATGCCTGATGAAATCACATATAAAGAATGAATACTTTTGAAGATCATTGAAAAAGACAGATAAAGCTTGTCTAAATATCATCTAAAATCATTAGAAAAACAGATTCCACCCTGGAATCTCTTAACTTGCAATACGATATTTCTCCACTCTCTACAGTTAAATTTTGAATATTTAAAAAGCTTGGCAAGTCTTGCATTTTAAATATGAAACTTTATCTGTCTCAAGTGGAGAAACATTGTATCACACTCCATGAAGTGATAGAAACTATATGTATCGACCTCATCAAATGTCAGTAATTGTATATTCACCCTGGTGAGGACTCTTGACAGGAAATATTTAAGGATGAAAATAACAACAGCTACTGTAATGATAAAGTATGGGGAAGAGGTGGAGGAGGAGGTAGGAGGGGATCAAAGGGGAGTCTCTTTGTACCTTTCATCTTCTCTATCCACACTGGTCATGGTCCGTATTTTTGTTTCTGCTCTGACCGGTATTTTTTGCTTTGCATTGCCTTGCCTGTTTCTTTCTGCATCACAGTCTTTTTCAACCCATTCATCTGTTTTGTTGTCCAAACTTACACAGAGAAAAATAGTATCAAAACTCAAAATCAAACAGCAATCTTTAGAGTCTTATAAATAAATACCTACATCTATTTTGAAAATAAAGAAATATTGTTGTGCTTATTTGTCAGACAAAACTTTTTTCCTATCTTATTGCATCTCACCTGCTGCAATATTTTAAAAAAGTATTTCAAACAAAAACAATAGCTGACATGCTTGAAACTTACTTCAAGGTCAAGTGATAGAACCTGATACATAAATAATAGAATTCAGACTAATAATAATAACATAATATTATTCACTCCTGAGATACAAAAATTACCCAAAAATTTTTTGCATACAGTTAAGCCTGTTATAAGGTCACCTCTATTAAGTGAAAACCTGTCTTGGCAGGTCACCTTCTGCTTGTCCCACTGTGGTAATACCTTTGCATTTTGAACCTCAAGTCAAAGGTCACCTCTGTTGTAAGTCCAGTTTTCTCTGGTCCCAAGGGTGACCTTTATATACAGGTTTGACTATATTTCCTTTTTCCTGCTGCAATTTTTTAATTATTTTAAACAAAAACAATATCCAACAATTGCCTGAAACTGACGTCATGAACAACTAATACCAGCCAGATATACATATTCTTGTGCTAGATTTCACAAATGAATAATATTAACCTAATATTATAAACTCACTGAGATACAAACATTATTCATAATTTTTTCACATATAATGTATTTCCTTTGTCCCCTACATGGCATGATTAACCACATTAATTGCTGTAAACAGTTTAATATTGAAATGAAATTCAACTTCAGTCAGAAAAGTACTTAACAAGTACCACTATGTTATGAACTTTGACCTTAATCATAATAAAAATAAATCAAGCCTAAATGTATGTAAGTAAGTGACTACTTTTTGTGAGCAGCTGTTAATATACTCTTAAGGTAGATGGGGGGTCTAAATTAAAATCGATAGAATTTTTTAATAATTAGCCAAAATGTAGTTTATATCATCGTTTCAACATATATATAATAAAAAGTATGGGACACATGGCATTTTTTTCAAGCTACTGGTTGTGCAAAATTGTCAGATTTATAGATAATTCATGGAAATTGGTAGAAAGAAAACTAAACCATAGAATTTTAAGATAAAATATGAGAAGACAGCTCTTCTAATGGGATTTCAGAAAACAAAAAGAAAATCAGGGTCACCAGACTCGTTTTATTGCTACAAAAAAAAATAGATAAATTCATAACACATTCCAGTATAAAAGTTACATTATCTGAGTTATCTCACCTTATATGGCAAAGTTGAAAAAGTTAAATACAATTTTCTGTATTTGTAAAACAACAGTTGCAAAAATATGATAAAACACATAATTTTCTTCATTCAGATGAAAAGTCTAACAAATGAATTACATTCTACTGTCAAAATTTACATATTTCATTGAAGATCCAGACCAATTATTTTCTAATATTTTACAATCCAAGATGGTGGAAGACACCAGAGCTACCTTAAAGGAATTTTTACAAAAAGTTATATGATTGTGATTTATCAACACTGTGAAAAATTGAACTCATACGCACATAGTAAATAAGTTATTGAAGCTTTTTTTCCCTGGCTGACTACTATATAAGATGAATCCTAACAACAAATTATATGAGATTAAAAAATTTCTTACCAGACTAGAAAATAGACATTTAACATAATTATGTATACAAATATTTCAATTCTAAAAATTCTGAGATGGAAAATTTAATGGAGCATTCCATTCACATAACAACATTTATTGTAATTCTGAGCTATACAGTTAATGCAAGAACATAAATCACCACTGATAATGATTTCAAAGCATTATGGCATACAAACACTCAAGCAAAAAAATAAACATTCAAACAGTATTGTTGACATATCATGTATAGTCAGACAAACACTCAAGCAAATAAACCATAGAACAAGTATTGTTAACATATCATGTATAGTCAGACAAACACCAAAGCAAATAAACCATAGAACAAGTATTGTTAACATATCATGTATAGTCAGACAAACACCAAAGCAAAATAACCATAGAACAAGTATTGTTAACATATCATGTATAGTCAGACAAACACCAAAGCAAATAAACCACTCAACAAGTATCATTGACATATCATGTATAGTCAGACAAACACCAAAGCAAATAAAGCAAAGAACAAATATTGTTGACCTACCTCATGTATAGTTGCTGAGGAAAACCTCATCATGAAAACTTTACATAGTTTTCTATAATTAGTAAAAGTTAGAATGAAGTATCTCTGAGTTGTCAATGCCACTGCTTGAAAAGTAAATCCTTACTCTCTCTTACCAAAACTTTCCAACTTGGGAAGACAAAAATGTCAAATATAAAAGCAAACCTATGTTAAAAGATCTCTAACAACATACACTTATTCCAACAATTTTTCTTAAACAAAATGCATAACATCCCAAAAACTAAACTCTCCTTATAATTGAGGAGGAGGAGGAGGATATAATTCAATGGAAATTTGATCTTCTGTTTCTGCAACGGTCCTGCTCTATATGAAGATGAAGGTGACAACTGCTACAGTGAAGATGATGAGAAGGAGGAGGAGAGGCAGAGGAGTTTTTTGTACCTTTCATGTCTTTTACCTACACTAATTATATTCTCTGTCATGATGTATAATGATGATGATGATCATGGCCATGTTCTCTATCTTTCAAGTGATGTGATTGTAGGCTAGTTATTGTCTGAAAAATGAACTAAAATGTAAATGGTGTGTATGTTAATGAAGGGTAAAATGTACATCACAGCCCTGATTGTACCAACTCGTTTTACAAAAGTGAACAATAATGCGTAAAATCAAACTTTACCTGAATAAGTTAGTGACTTGCTTATAGGTCATATAAGGGAGGAAAAAGTGTATAGTACATTCTGTATGTCTGTCAACATGGTCAATGACAAGCATTTTAAAAGTTAACCTTAATATAGACAAAAATATATTTTCAACCATTTTGATAAAATATTGAAATTTGGGTTATTTCAAGATGTCTCAGAAACATCATGATAAAAAAAAACCAGTATCGAAAACTATGGATTTAAAATTATTTCCCAATTTTGGAAAAAAAGGTGCTTATCACACGTACCACACTTTGTTCTTAATTAAGAATTACTATACAGAAAAGTTATGGGTTTTTAAGTCAAATATTGTCCTCCATACATTGTGTAGTAACGTAAATTTTTGTATTGTAAAGTATCAAAAATAACCAGCCACCTCAGGATTTTGATTGCATGAATGCAATCTTCATTTATACAATCTTTACCTCATAAATCTGTACATACCTATTTTGCATAGGTCCCATCTTGTTGTCATCTCTTCCATGTATCTCTTCTATCATATTTTGAACTTCACTAAGATTTAAATCAACACACTGAAAAGGATTCTACAAAACATGGACATTAGTGGTTAAAGAGCTTTCAGTAGTCATAGAAGTCATCTAATCAAAGAATATTTGAAGCAGGATATACTAAATAAAATGTCTACTGACTTATTTCTACAGAAAAGGTAATCAAATAACCAAAATTAGTCAATATCAGGTACAAATGTAATTAGGCTAGTACTTGTAAGTTCAAATTCATAAAAAGCACAGTGGTGGCATATAATAAACCTTTCTTTTGTTGAAAAGTATGAACAAAAATACTGAATTCTGAGGTAAATTCAAAAGGGGGGTAAGTCCATCAAACATAACAAAATAAAATGCTCAAATATATCAACCAACATAACAAATGGAAAACAACTGTTATATTCCTGACTTGGTACAGACATTTAAATAAATTTCAAAACATGGAGAAAGCAATGCAATTTGTAGCATAATGTTGTTTTTTGTTTAACAGCTTTTATCATGACCCTTTTCAAGCAAACATAAATATAAAGTGATGTGGTATGATTGCAAGGAGACAACTATAGCAACCAGAATGATGTGGATGTAAGCAGCTAAAGGTACAGCCTTCAACTATGAGCAAAACCCATAGTGTATAGTCAACTGTAAAAGGCCAAGATATGCCAAATTATATAAAACAATTCGAACAAGAAAACCAATGGCCTGATTGGTGGTGGTGGGGGTGGCTATGGTGATGATGATCATGATCTGAGAGCTGCATAAAACATGTTGATTAATAATGTCATGTATGTTAGACAGTATGTAAACAGGTTTGTTATCATTTTAGGGCTGTTGCACAAAGGATTGGCATCTTAAAATTTCAATGGTTGGGTGTCATATACAGTGAAAATGAAAATGTAATTTCAAATTTACCTCAATGAGTGGTTTCCCCATTTTGAAGTGCCTTCCCTGAGTGCAATATATGTTTAAATGGAGAAGTGCTAAACTGAAAAGTTTTGCGTATTTCACAAAAACAAATGAAACCTCTGTTTAACGTCTCTTGTTCTGACAACAAGAATTGAGGAGACATTGTAGAAGGAAACAATCTTTCAAAAACCTCATTATTTCTTTGGTTAGCAGTCTTACTGACATATTTTCTCCAACTATCCCTCAAACATATTATTAAATATGTATATTTAAGCATGTCTATGTTTGTATGTCTGTTGTTTTTTTCGGAGGAGTTGGTGTCGATGGTTGATGTGGCTTGCTCTACTGTCCAGTATTTTTGTTGATTCCTGTTTTCATGGTTATCGATTTGTGTATAATATTACAAAAACCTAACTCTTTTCTTATATATCATATTGAAAGATGCAGTTGAAAGGTAAATTACTGAATATATATTATATATATTATACCTCATGTTTGCGGTATACCATCTTTTCCGCAAGTTTATTGTTTTCTGTTTGGTATTGAATTAATAATAAAGATCCATTATGCTATATCTTGTGATCCGTTTATTTGGCAATCGCCAATGGCAGTCAGCAGGGTTTAAGAACATCCGTTGTTCAACCTGTTAGTCAAATGGGCTTTGTTTAAATATACCTTTTCACTTTTTTGGTCTTTTGCAAAATGTTGTTTGTGCTGTATTTAGACCCCTCTACCAAGAAATTTGTTTTGCATGCACACGTATAAAAATTGCGGTTTTTATCCAACGCAATCATAGGTTTGAACGTTGTTTTCAATTTAGACTTATTTATATTTTTTCGTTTGGGCTTGTTTTATATTTGCCTTCGTGTTTATATGATCTGTTCATCCTGTTTGGACTCCTCAAAATTCAAGAGTCTATCCTAAATTGAGGTAAATTATATGGCCTTCCAAATACCGTTTCGATTCCTAACATCACTGAAGAGACATTAATTGTTGAAATCCGGATATGGTGTACAAATTTATGCACCTCATGTTTGCGGTATACCATCTTTTCAGCAAGTTTATTGTTTTCTGTTTGGTATTAAATTAATAATAAAGATCCGTTATGTTATATCTTGTGATCCGTTTATTTGGCAATGGCCAATGGCGGTCAGCAGGGTTTAAGAACATCCGTTGTTCAACCTGTTAGTCAAATGGGTTTTGTTTAAATATACCTTTTCACTTTTTTGGTCTTTTGGAAAATGTTGTTTGTGCTGTATTTAGACCCCTCTACCAAGAAATTTGTTTTGCATGCATACGTATAAAAAATGTGGTTTTTATACAACAAAATCATAGGTTTGAATGTTGTTTTCAATTTAGACTTAATAATATATTTTATATATATAAAAAATTGTTGAGTTAGATTGCTGACAAATACTAATACATTGTGTATAAAAAAATAATATAACATCTACACACACATGTCTTATGTCTATCTCTAGATTCGCCTTACGTGACAAGGTAACACTACGTTTATTGAAGTTATATTTTAATGTATCGGATGTGGTCGAGTGGTCTAGAGTGATGGACATGAGGCTAAGGGATTGGTGCTGTAGTGTATCAAAGGTGTGAGTTCAAATCCTGTTGAGGGACAAAAATTTGTCAGCATAAAAATCTAATTCTAACACTGCTGGGTTTCATTTTCAGACTATTTTTAACCAAGGTAAATAGAGTTATGAAAATATATACAATATCCTCTGTTTCAAACATATCTTTTCGTTAGATGGACCAGATTCTTCAGAAAAGTGCAACAGTACACCACATTGAAACTGTAAAATATAAACTGCTTGACACAATATGAAGCCTTGGTGAACTTGTTCTCTGTGCTCATTAGACAAATAGCTCCCAATTGTAACTCACAGTTGATATTCTATGGTATCAGTATGCAGAAAACCTGATAAAAACCAGTGCATGCAGATCAGGAAACATTTGGTGTACTGGTGTCCTCTCCTGAAGAAATCTTAATAAAGCATCTATAAAATGTTGAAAATTTAATATCATTTGTGGTTATGAATTTGATAGTGCAAACAGGTGCTCCCTGGCACCACCCACAAATATTTATCAATAAAGCAACAGCCCTTCTTGAAAGACGTTTTAAAATAATATACATAATATAATAAGTAATTTTATTTACCATTCCAAATAAGATGTTGCCTTCTCTTGTTACTAATTTCATGGACAAGGTGAAGATATTCGTCTGGTGCAGCATTTAAATGGCTTTCAAACTTGCCTGCCAGATCCTTAAGCTCCTCTAAGTATGAATCGCATTCCTCATTTGATAATGGTCTAACAGTATGCTTTAAATTATTTCTTATTCTTCTTACAGCTCTCACATCATCATATAATTTTCCCTCAAATTCTGAACCTTTTTCAAAATCTGATGCAATATTTAAATGTATAATCAAAGTATTAATTTCTATAATGTCAGCAGCATCCCCCTTAATGATTGCACCATCAAGATCTGTCTTTGTTTTGAGTGACAAGTATCTAAGATTAGAGTTATTGACTCGTCTGTAGAGTTCATCTTTTGATACCCCTGATCTTTCTACTACATTCACAAGGAATAGCTTCAAGACTTCTAATACATCTTTAATAAATATTATACTGATGATTCCCATGGCTGCTGCTGTCACAGCTTCATCAATCTGTTACCATGATTACTGTGGTCTTTTCTGAAAAGATTTTAATACAATCAGTAGACTTTTCAGATTGAAAGCCTCAGAGTATCAGGTTTCCAAATGAATACTGTAAAGTGTAATATTTTCATGAAGTATAAAACTTGCAATTTCTTACACACAAGAGTGCACACGCTGAAATGTCTCGCCTTCTTTACTGACCATTGATTTTATGTTGATAGTCCCAAATATAAAGCTTTACTACAAGTATCACATAAACTTAACATGATCCAAGAAAATGAGGTCAAGGTCAGATAAACCAAACTGGAAATACATGTACACCTTACAATCATTCAATACATCAAATAAAGTTGACCTATTGCTTATAGTTTCTAAGAAACAGACTTTAACAGGAAAACTAAACATTGACCAATGAACCATGAAAATGAGGTCAATGTCAGATGAACTATGCCAGAAAGACATGTACAGCTTACAATCAATCTATGCATTAAATATAGTTGACCTATTGCTTTTAGTATCTAAGAAACAAACTTAACCATGAAAACTTAACATTGACCAATGAACCATGAAAATGAGGTCAAAGTTAGGCGATACCTGCCAGACAGATATATACACCTTACAATCATTCCATACAACAAATATACATGACCTATTGGTTATAGTTTAAGAAAAACAGACCAAAACACAAAAACATAACACTGAGCAATGAACCGTGAAAATGAGGTCAAGGTCAAATAAAACCTGTCAGACTGACATGTACATCGTAAAATATTTCCATACACCATATATAGTTGACCTATTGCATATAGTATTAGAAAAAAAGACCAAAACACAAAAACATAACTTTAACCACTGAACCAAGAAAATGAGGTCAAGGTCAGATGACACCTGCCAGTTTGACATGTACACCTTACAATCATTCCATACACCAAATATAGAAATGCTATTGCTTATAGTATCTGATATATGGACTTGACCACGAAAACTTAACCTTGCTCACTGATCCATGAAATGAGATTGAGGTCAGATGAAAACTGTCTGACGGGCATGAGGACCTTGCAAGGTACGCACATACTAAATATAGTTATCCTATTACTCATAATAAGAGAGAAATTAACAGTACAAAAAATCTGAACTTTTTTTACAAGTATTCTTTGAACCATGAAAATGAGGTCAAGACAAAGGCACATATGACAGACGGAAACTTCATAACATAAGGCATCTATATACAAAGTATGAAGCATCCAGGTTTTATACCTTCTAAAATATAAAGCTTTTAAGTAGTTAGCTAACGCAGCAGCTACCGCTGCTGGATCACTATCCCTTTGTCGAACCTTCTGCGACAGAAGTCGGAGGCTCGACAAAAACCTGATCGTGAGGCCATATTTCAGCTTTTTTTCTTGTTCCTAGCTGTTTTAATTAGATTTAGATGGGGGTCTACCATTTTATCTTAGGGGCATACAATACAGTTACAGGGGAGGTAATGACGTTGCTAACGTAAAATGTTATTAATCCCGGCGTCAAACTGTGACATATCGGGGAAAAGATGCATTTTTCAATTGATTTTAATCATTTTAAAACTTGAAAACGAGTACATTGACCCCTCTTTTTTATGATGACATTTGGTTTGATTATGTATGAAGAATATTTGTACCAATGATTATGAACATACACTGTATCATCAATGATTTTTTTTTTAAATTACTGTACATTCAGAAATTATTGCAATGTTTTTATTATTGCGAAAAATGCGACAGGGTTATAATCGCAATAATCTAAACTCGCATTTTGAAATTGTTTATATGAATTAAGCAGGATTTTCCTCGATATCCCAAAAATTAAAATCGCATTTTAGTCTAAAATGACAAAATTGCAATAATAAATGCACTCAATAATTTCTGAATTTACAGTACATAAATATATAGAACTGTTTTTTGTTACCTTTAAACAGGAGGTATATTCAACCATTGGATAAGGAATGAATCTGAACAGGCATCAGAAGGTATTACATGTTTACATGAAGCTTCAGATAACAAATTTCTGGAAGCTCTGATATGTAGTTCCTGAAGAAAAATGTGATTGAAATTCAATGAGACCAAAAGACAGAAGGATGGACTGACGGACAAAAATTTTAATGGACAGACAAACAACAAACAACTTTATCTCAGTATTGATCTGTGGTCATTTTTTTTCTTGTCAACATAATTTTTAAACAAAAAGCTAAAGGCCTGCTTTAAAGCCTGTTGCAAAATTCCTTCAACTTTTGAGAAATTTTCAGAGTTTGCGGTAAATTTTTTAAGGAGGGGAAAATGGAGAAATATATTTATTGTGACTTACATAAAATGTATCTCAAAATGTACCTCACTGTTGGCTACTCTAAACAATAACTGATGATAAGTGTAGATGGCTCCATTCCCATCTTAGATAACATTAAACAGTGCAGTCTGGTTACTTATTAGGAAACTGAAAGAGTAAAAGTTTCAAAATATGCAATTGTATAAAAAAAAATGTCAATAAACATGATATATGAATATTTTGACAATAAATGATATATATATGCATTTAAAATCAAGTAGGTTTGTATTTCATGTCTTTTTTCTTTGTGGTTTTTAAATTGTGACATGATATTTAAACCTCCAATTTCATACCTGATATGGTGAGAAATGTATGCTGCTAATCATCCTTTTTTATTTGAAACTAGTATTTTGACACTGTTTGAAAGACAGTCTCAAAATTGAGGTCAAAGTCTTAAATTCTAGCTAATTTTCTGACAGTTTCTGCAGAAATTGGAGAAAACAGAAATCAAGTCTCTGAGGTATCACCAGACTGTTTATCATGTGAAAGCTACAAACACAACTGCATGATGGAAATGATATGCACCAAAAGTGTGTATCAAGAAAATTAATTGTTTATTAAGAGACAAAGATAAGGACTTTTTTTTTGACATTTTAAGCAAGTTTCAAAGAAATGCTATATATTCATATCATATAAACATCACACCAGCATAACTTTTTACTAAGATAAATCTTCATAACTATGATTGTTTATATAGTCCTGAATAGACAATATGGTGACAACTAACATAATTATAAAAAAAAAACAAGAAACAAGGTGTAGAAATTTTAAGGAAGCGGTATTGGAGAAAAAAGATAATCCTGCAATACATGTTTGTATTAAAATATTTCTCTCTTTATTGTGACTTATATAACAATGTATCTCATAATGTAACTCACTGTCTGCTGCTCTAAACAATAAGTTGAAGATCTGCTTCATCTGAAGGTTCTATTTAATTGATGATAAGTGTAGATGGCTCATGATCCCCATAATAGATAACATTAAACTGTGCAGTCTAATTAGTAATTGGGAACCTGAAAGTTCAATATATATATACTGTGGATTCATTTATTTTCGTGGGTATCAATTTTCGTGGATTGAGGAAAACTTGCATTTTCGTGGATATTTGATTTCGTGGTTTTGCCAATCTCTGCATACAAAGCCTATAGAAAATTTGTAATTCGTTGAACATTTGAATTCCTGGTTCACTTGTACCCACGAAACCCACGAAAATTGGTATCCAACGAATAATAATGAATCCACAGTATGCAATGTCAAAAATATGATATTGAATATTTTTATAATAAATGATATAATACTGTTAAAATCAAGTAGGTTTGCATTTTTGTCTTTTTTTTTGTGGTTTATGAATTGTGATATTGGAACCTCAAATTTTATACATGTGTATGGTAAAAATGTATACTCATCATCGTCTCATGGAAGTACAATATCATACTTCCATGGTATTTAACTAACTACCAATCAATGCAGTGAATGGTTATGGTTTCATGTCATTTCAGCCCTATGTCAATCCAGCCCAAGTCATTCCAGCCCCATTCAATCTGGCCCTAGTCAATTGGGCCCAAGTCTATCCGACCTCTATATGAAAAATATTTACAAGGGATAATCTTATAAATAATACATGTAGCATTATGGTGGACAATAAAAAATTGTGCCTTTGACTCATATTGAAATATATTATTTCCATTAGATCGGAGATATTCATTAGAATAATTTTTATATCAATATTTGGATTTCTAAGTAGAATATTGATCATGACATTAATACTGAAATATATATATTTTTTTATTTAAAACATTTCTTTTAAAATATTTTTTCTTTAATGAGAAGGGATGAATATGCAGTATATATCATTTATTTTGATTACCATTTTAAATAGAAGTTATCAAGAGATATTGTGTATGCATAACTATAAAAAAATATACAGTCAGAGGTCAAAAGTGTTTTTGCATTTGAAAATAAAGCTACATAGATATAAGAAGATGTGGTATGAGTGCTAATGAGACAACTCTCCATCCAAGTCAAAATTTATAAAAGTAAACCATTATAGGTCACAGTACGGTCTTCAACACGGAGCCTTGGCTCACACCGAACAGTAAGCTATAAAGGGCCCCAAAAAATTACTAATGTAAAACCATTCAAACGGGAAAACCATGTATATATTTTATACAAAAACACATATTTAATTAAATATTATACTGAAGATATTTCTTGTCGGAATTATATGACTTTTTTTCATTTAATACAGAACTGCAAGGACATATAACTAACATACGTCCTTGAGAACTGTGTGCAGTTTCTTGCAATATTCAATCATTATATTTATGATCATTTATGAAATGTCACAAAATTTATGCATGATTCATATTTTTGGGAAAATAATAATTAGTTTTATAGACAGGAAAAAATCAAAAATCATATGGTTAGGGAATGACCATTAAACTTCAAGGGAGGGGGGGGGGTTAAAGTTTTTTCCCAAAAAAATATTCTGATCCCCAATTTGATGAAAAAAAATATTGTGGTCAAGCAGATCATAAACAAACCTTGTAGTGTTAAATTTTGAAAAAAATAATTTGATTGATAGCGTCGAAAAACTAAAAAAAAATGTTCATGCTTAGCGCGAAAAAAATTTCTGACTCCGACAAAAAACCATATTTAACCCCCCTTGAAGGTAAATGCATGGTACTAGCTCCCTTATATAGGAAAAAAATGACATTCAATATCAATATTTGTATACGAGTTATGATTTCTCAGTAATGACATGTCATAAAAATATTTCATAATAACCATAAAAAACTTTACACATATATGCGCATGTTTAACATTTACAACATTTCATCAGAGACATATATACACAGAGATTGGCAACTCCGTGAAATCCCGTTAAAAAACGCGGCCCGGAATGAGATTCTCGTTGATAATTATTCTACAACATGTAGACAAGTCAGGGATGAATAACCTCGATAGCTAATCAAGAAAAGTAATAGGAAAACTTATTTCAGATCAAATAAATTCTTTTTCTAAAAAACTACTTGAAATAGTTGTATTTTTTTTAATGTATTTGATTGAGAAAATATTTTTTTCTTTTTTTCGGCATTTCTTTAATTTAAAAAGTAAAATCTGGTAATGATCATATTACAAGAAACATTTCTTTGCTAAAGTTTGCTTCTAAATTACAGTGAAATTATGTGTGTCCGATTTTTCGGTCATTATTTCCTAAGAGTTGTGACTGTGGATTCACAGGTGTGCGATTACGCAATTTATTGCCCTCCGATCACCTGAATTTTGCCGGAGGTGAAGTTCTAAGTGGATTATTACTTGGTAATAGTTTTTAAACTTAACAAATTCTGACATTATTTTAACCATGACCAGAACTTTATTTTAACAGAAACACTGGGCTATACTATGAATAGGGTAAACGGACAGAAAGTCACAGTACAAAAAGTCACAGGACATAAAGTCACAAATTGGATAGGACAAAAAGTCACAAATAATTTATTGACAATTGTTTGAATATATAAGAGAAAGATCTTCAAATAATATCTTTTTTTTACATTTATTCATTTTTTAAATTCAGGAAATTGTTCATAAGCCTTGATAAATGAAAAATTATTAAATTTTAATCATGCAAATAATATATTTCTTGGCACCATGAAGCCATTTAAGTGCCAAACCACTTTGACATTTTGTTATCATAACAATTATTTGATCATCATTGATATTTATTGAATAAATTTTAATTACAAAGTTGCTTCATATATTATAGTTCAATAAAAAATCAAAAAAATATTTTTAAAATTAGTGTTTTCTTGTTCAGAGAAAAATAATCTCTAAACTGAATTGTGACTTTTCGTCCGTGACTTTTTGTCCTGTGACTTACTGTCCTACATTCTACTATAGTATTCAATCAGGAACAAAAATAGTCATTTAACATGTCAAAAAAAGAAATCAGAAAGCAACTTTTTTATATAAAAAAAATATGTAGCCAGTAGAATTTTGTCTCGTGGAAAAAGGATTTAAATGATTAATTTTTGATTGACCTACAATTACAGTATTTGTGGAACCTTTGCATGAATTTCCTAAATGAACGTACATTATGTACAGTGTTGTCGAAATCACTATTTTTGCTGTCATGAAATATTGAATATGAATCTGTCATTATTTGTAGTTTTTTATAGACTTAATATCACAGACCCTGATTAAAAACAATGTGTATCATAAGTACAGTAAAATGCTCTGCTGAACTGTAGAATTTTAATGTTCTGTTTCATAGACCACAGAAGTACTGCAACATCCTTATCTTTACTCTTTCCTATCGGGTAGTGAAACTCGAGTTTGAAATTAGAAAGATTTAAAATTGAAGACAAGTTTTATCTGATCTTTTGTGGGTTTATGTTTTGGTGCAGTGGTATGTGGGCTGTTATTTTCTTTTCATTTGTCATTTTTTTATCTGTGTTACATGACCTTGTACTTTTTGTATTGCCCCTTGACATCTCCTGCTTCTGTTTAAACCTTTACCACTAATATCTCATCTGGTTTAAATAAAATAGTGTCTCATTCCCGGAATTTGATATACAGGAATTCATTTTAATATCAGTTTTTTTATAAGCATATAAACTGCTTGGTCTCTTCACACAATTTATGTTTAGGACGGAATGCATCAATAGGTACATACATGTACCAGGTCACCAATATATAAGTACACGTTATGTGCTTTTGACCTCCACAAGAATTCTTAAACATTCATAGATGTGCAAAGAATATTTTTGTCGTTGGGTTGTTGTCTCATTGACATATACCTAACATTTCTGAATAGTCATAGCAGCTGTGCCTTTTCAATTTATTGCAGAAAATATTTGCATTAACATTTTTCAAAATAGGCGAGGTGAAACAGTGATCACAGAATGAGGACATGTAAAACTGAAACAACACAACACAACAGATAAATATAAACAAGCACCATTGCTAAAGGACTGAAACAAACATAGATGATGACTAATATGAGCGACTAGTAGTGTACAAGTAGAGTGAACATTTCTTGCTTCTTATTCTACACATTTTGTCATTTCATGTAACCAATTAAATATGTTATTTTCCGAGGAGA